TCCGTTCCTCATACTCTGAAGTTCCTCAATTAAGATCTAACCTTGTTTTTTATTTTCCTCTGTTGTTGAAGTATTACTTCCAGCATTATGACCTGCTAGCCATTATTGTCCTGGAGAAGTCCCACAAAAGACCTCCATCCATATGTGCAATCAGAAAGGGCATTTATTATCTCCAGAATAGAAGTATTAGCATGCCTGGGTTTTGCATTCACCACAAAGGCAAAGATGACACCGACCCCCAAGAAAAGCTTACGGGCTCTTTTATACACAACTAGAGGAATTTTAAAAGCAGCCTGATCATTCTATCTATGATTTGTTTACACAAGTGACAATCATATTAGTATGCATCTAATTGGTTAGGGCTGTCAGGGCTAACCTATAACTTTTCCATTCTTGGATGGGACTGGACAATTCCTAGGCTTTTTCCTTATTTGGCTATTGCCTTGAGGTACCTAGGGGTAGGTTGGAGAGTTGACCCTGTCCTTGTATATGCAGTTCCTCATTTCCTCACTGTCAGGGGCATTGTATATTAGTTGCACTTTGTGTCTTCCTCAGAAACTTTCTTGTTTAGTTTCAAGAGGTAGGAACTGAGGCCTACTTCTTAGCTGAATTATTAGACGGCTATCTTGATATTTGCCTGGCCCTCATACTAGCCTGGGTCTTATAAAAATTTAATCTTGTGGAATATAATATTGTATCCAACCCAAAATATATTTTATTGTAAGTGAGGTGACACAATGATTATGTATCAGTTAAAACCCCTGCCATTTTTATATGTTCCAATGTAGCTGAGCTAAGAAACAGTGGAAGGGGAAGCCAGGTGTTGGTGGCGCATGCCTTTAATCCCAGCACTCAGGAGGCAGAGGCAGGCGGATCTCTGTGAGTTCAAGGCCAGTCTGGTCTACAGAGCAAGTGCCAGGATAGGCTCCAAAGCTACACAGAGAAACACTGTATCAAAAACCAAAACCAAACCAAACCAAACCAAACCAAAACAAACAAACAAACAAAAAAACAGTGGCAATGTCTGTGAAAGAGTTACCAATGATGTTAAGACAACAACCGACAGATTGGGATATAACCACCATGATCCTTACTGCTTGAAGAAACACAAGCTGTGATATATATGAACTCTTTCTAGAGTGTATGGGATGTAGGTGCTAAAGAGTGGTACTGACCCTTCTCAATAACACTTTGTGCTTCCTGATACATTCTTCTCATATCCAAAGGGTCAAGAATAGTGTTTCTTCCTATGAATGTAATAAAGCCTAGATGTTAGTGGTCCATCAGGGACGAAAGGTAGTTTTTGTATTGGTAACAACAATTGTGCCCCAATTTCTGTAAATAACCTAGATTGTGAATAGAGAGAATAATCATGAAAATTACAATTTGACTCAAAATATTGTAAGGGTGGGTTGAAGCATTGCAAAATTAAAGCTATGTCAAGGAATACCCCAATGTAACTATTTTAACAATAAAAAGGGCAGTGGAAAGTAGGTGGAAGCTGACTAAATTTCAGGAAAATGAAAGCCACAATTGGAAAAACAAAGCAAAGCAAACAAACAAAAACAACAGAAACTGAATATCCTCTCAAACAGACACAGCAATGAAACTATCAGGCTAGTTTCCCTAAAATTTTATTTTACATCTTTCCAAGGACTTAAATTGACTTGTCCTTTCATAGATCCTCTGTGATGAAGTGTCATCCAAAACTTAGAAATGGTCTGATTCAAAGACAGTGAAAATGAAATCTTGACAGAAGGAGAATAAACATTTCCAGAAAAGCTAATTGGAGACAGAGATGGGGCAAGGGAGATGGGAATGGGATACAGCTCTGATAAGGAAAAACAAACTGGTCACCAATCAAAGGGCGCATGATCACTGTATTGTTCTTGTACAGTCCAGAACTGCTAAAGAATGGGTCTTGAGCCTAGTCATTTGTTTAAATGCTGGTCTTATCTTGCAAACATCCTGGCTTTAGGAGCAGGTGTTCAGTCACCTTCCTTTTGCCCAGTTAAATATCAGGGCCTTGGGACCAGTCTGGGGCACTTGATGCTGTAAAAAATAATTATGAGACTAGATGGGCAGAAAACAATTTTTTCGTTAAGTGGCAATTTTAAAGGACTCAGTTTGCCAGCAGTGACATGTTTGTATCAATCTTTGAGGGGCTAAAGCAGGGTGGACCATTGCAAGCACAGGCCTAAGCATGGCAAACATAGAGCCAACAGGTGTTGCCTCCCCTTTGCTAATTTGTTCGATTATATTGCTAAAGCTAGCCACCAGGGTCTTTCCCCTTGTTTAGCCATTGACTCAGTCTTGACACTGACTACCAAGGTTCAGAGATCAAAACACCAAGGTCCATTAATCAAAATTCATTGTTTTGACTAACCTAATTAAAATACACAATCAAAACTTGCCAACACACTGTATCTCATGTTAACACAGACATTCTTATGTCACCTCTTCAGATTCAGCCAACTTGTCTCTTTGCCTTGATTAATAGAGGATATCTTTGTGTTTGATTTGTGCTTGGAAACTGGTATTTGGAGGTGGTCTGTGCCTAATATGGTATTCAGAAGGCACCCCAAAGTATGAGGATCATTGCAATCCTCATGTGGTTTAATTTTTTAGACATTGTAGTAGAAGGATCCTGATTCTATTACTTCGTCTGGCTATTAAGATGGCCTATGAGAGGAAGGGTGAAGACAGAGGTAAAATTCCCATTTGGTAGCAGGCTGTAATCTAAGACAAGTTGGAGGAAGTCAGGAAATACAACAAACAAACATCCCTTCCCATTTATAATTTTAAAAGATTTTAATTTATTTTTTCATCTTTTTATTTTTTGCTATTATAGTATAAAGTAGTAACATTATATGGACAGAGAACAATGTATTCATGTATTTAGGAATGTTTATGTATGTAAATACACACATATGTATATAATTTACCTATGATGTTACACATATACACATATGACATATATATATGTATATAAATATACATATACAAATTAACAACACCTCATTTTTTAATAGCAAGACATTGGGTTAATACTTTCAATCAGCATCTGTGCTAGTTGCTATGGAGATTTCTAAGCATCTCACAAGTAGCAATAAATGGTCATACATTTGTGTGTCCTTAGAAGGAACTAGATATGGAAAGTCACTTGTGCATGCAAGACTGCCTTGCTCTCTCTGGTTTCTTAGTTTGGTGACCAGTTCTCTACCCTGTGGTCTACCTTTTCTGCTCTAGTTAGTGTGGAGCTTTGCTCTTGAGCTCCTGTTTTCCTTGGTTAAGTATAGCTTTGCTCCCTGCACACATACTTTCACTAAGAGTATGTAATCACTTTTGTTCTCATTGAGGACAGTCCTGAAATACAGTGTATAGCTCCCCAGGATATCATATTAGAAGAAGCATGCATTTACTGGACATGTGATATATGTACGTTTGTACCCCTCATATTTTTTATAGCACATTACTACCAAATTCTGGCCCACAGAATCACAAGACACAATAAAAAGAAAATTATGTAACGCGTTTTAAAGACTGCTTTCTAAGGAAGTGATCACCACAAAACCCAAGGCATAATGTGGGCAAGTTTTATCAAAGTTCATTAATATTCCATGAGGAATAATGTTGAGTTGCCCACTGGGTGTGCTTCTGTCTTTTAGGCCTAAGTCATTCTGCCTCTCAAGGAATTCCCTAGATCCACACATCAGTCTTGGGCTCTGATTGCTAATAAAAACTGCTAATGTTTTATTGAACATCCTCCAGTGTCCTTCAACTTTCAGGCCAGTATCACTGTGGTCATAAAATATAGTTCAAGCCTCTCATGGCGTGCATACCTTACTCTGTGAAAACCCAGCTTTCCCTGAGACCTGGCCACTTGTTCCTCTTCAACTCTTAGCAGCATGCAAGGAAAACATAGAATACTTGTTATGGGCCCAGGCTTTAAAAACTTAAGCACTACACAGTTTCCCATGGAATAATAAATGTCACCATTTCAAAGACTTACTCACTTGGCTGCTCCTCCTTTTCCCTAAAGATCTTAACTAAGGGAGTAAGGCAGCAATTTTATTTTTTTATCCTTGTACTACACAAAGATGTTTGGGAAACATTTATTTACTTTTGGCAAAGTGAAAAAATACTGGCTTGGAAAATTTTCATAAGATATTTATTTTTCTGCATCTTTCCTATTAAGTCCTGGAACTAAACAAGATCAGTGGTGATCTCCATGTCTTCACCCCCAATATGGATATAATAATCTGTGAAAAACAATATGAGGATATTAAGCAATACAATCTATCATAATATTTTAGATGATTCATTGGAAACTTTAGACACAAGATTTTTCCATTACCTCTCTTCATGGTGATACTGTTTGCAATATCTAAAGTAACTTTCAACTACTGACACACAAATCTGATAGGCATATAAATATTAGATAATTATGTGGACCCTATTTGTTGCAGGTTATATTATTTCAAATATTAATTCATCTTTAAATTGTTTCTACTTTACTCCAGTTTTTCCTCAATTTTAATTGTGAAATGTAATTTAACTCATAAAAATGCAGAAACAATATTGGTAACCTCATTGATCACTTTTTATTAAATTTAGAAACTGTTATTTTATCACACTGTATATTCCAAACTCACATTTTCTCTTGTAAGTCGCAGTTCTTATGCTTTATGAATAAACTGGTGCAAGCATGACCTATGCTAAATATCCAGTCATGTTTAAAGTTAAAACATCTACTTATTTCCATTCTGAATGATTTTAGTTGATATTTTACAGTTGCAGGCAATCTCTCTAAAACATAATACTTTCAAATTAAGAAAATTGTCTTCAATTTAATTTTGACTTTTCTTTTTTTCCATATAAATCAATTCCAATGTTTATTAGACATAGAAAAAACATTTCTCAAAGTCAATTCTTGTTAAGTTCTCTGTAAAATAATACACCTGATCAGGAAATCATTACACTTTTTGGTCCAAGATATTTTGGGTCTTTTCCTTCTTCTTCTTCAGATGACAGATGGATGCAGCCAAATCTATGAGCGTGTGCACTTGCCCCAAATGTGCAACATAAATACAGAAGCGATGAACAAAAGACTCATCACCAACACTGGAACAGGGCCAACTTTGAGCCCAGGGGAATCATCAGTGTAGAATCTCCACATTCCCCCAGTCCCTGCAGAGGTGCTGCGGCCTGCACTCCGAGTCCCGCAGCTGGCATTTTTTCTCTGCCGGACCGTGGATCCCGCCGCCCGCGCGGCCACGGCTTTGCTGGGAGAGCGCCCTGAGGAGCCCACGTTGGTGCCACTGGGCGTCGGACCCGGTATGCTGATGCCGAAGAACAGGGGACACAGAAAGTACCGGAGACGAAAGCCGGGAAGTTGCAAGCACTCAGAGCACTAGCGGAGACCTAATTTTGACTTTTCTGAGAATTTTATATATACTATGCTTATATTATTTGCAGCTCTTACTCTCCCCTCTCCAACTCTTCCTATATCCCCCACTACTCTCTTACAGATTCATAATTGATCCCACAGTAATTGTTACAGTTATTGTACATGTGCTTGAGGCTCACTTGGGATTATATAACCTATCGTGGGACCCATTTTTGAAAAAACCTGATTCTCTCTGTGGTAACAACAGTCATTGTCTATAGAGCTTCAAGTAGGGATGGGTCCCTGTGAAATTTCTCTCATCCATCTTTGCATGTCACTTTGGTGTTATCACTATACAGGTCTTGTCTAGGCAGCCACACTGTTCCATCCATTCACATGTCATTATATGTACTTATATATATGTGAATATATATGCATATGTCTTCATGGGTGTTGGCACATGTGAGCATGTGCAAGGGCCAGAATAGTGTGTTGACTGTTCTTGTATACCACCCCTCCCTCCGTCCTCCTTTTACCTTTAATGCATAGTCACTCCCTGAAACCAGAGCTCACATTTCCTCAAGTGAGATAGATGCCAGCTATCACCACAAATCCTCCTATCTCTGGTCATCTAGGTGATGGCATTACAGGTTTGTGGCTGCTGGGATCTGGACTCAGTTCAGAATAATTGTGCAACAAGCCCTCTTAGCTATGAGCAATCTTTCAAGCCTTTCATGATTTTTCATATTCTTTTCTTTTCATATTCTTTCATATTCCTGAAGTCTTTAATAATCTTACTCCTTTTTTAAGATTTACTTATTTATTATATATACAGTGTTCTACCTGCATGTATGCCTGCAGGCCATAAGAGGGCACCAGATCTCATTGTGCATAGTTGTGAGCCACCATATGGTTGTGAGAATTGAACTCAGTACCTCTGGAAGAGCAGCCAGTGCTCTTAACCTCTGAGCCATTTTTCCAGCCTTTACTTAGTTTCTTTTTTTTGTTAAAGATTTACTTATTTAGTATGTATACATTATTTTGTTTGCATGTATCCCTGCAGGCCAGAAGAAGGCACCAGATCTCATTATGGATGGTTGTCAGCTACCATGTGGTTGCTGGGAATTGAACTTAGGACCTTTGGAAGAATAGCCAGTACTCTTTAACCTCTGAGCCATCTCTCCAGGCCAGCTTTCATTATTTTCTAACAGCATTCTCACAAGAAATGGCTGTTTGAAAGCATGTTGATGGAAAGATCTCTTCTCTATCTCCTTACTTCACAGAGCCTGAAAGCTGCAATGAACTTGAGACATTCCCAATATACATAAAATTATGCAATTTAATCAAAAGTTCTTACATATTTTCTTTGTATCGATGAAGGATTCAAACAAGATTCTAAGTTGCATACCAATTCAAATATGTCTTTTCACTTTAACTTAGGCCATTTAACTAGCATACTGATACAGTATATATATATGCATTTATAATTACCTTTTAAATTATTTTTCATAGCACCTCGTATGATGCTTATAATAATATGGGCCTGAGACATCTTTGCTGGAATATTGAATCAAACTTAATCTTAATTGTAAATTGCTAACAAGACTGAGAGTTCAGGATCTTTCCAAACGGAGCCTAGAGGGGACTTATTAGTATTCATATCATCAGTAGATAGCTTGAGTCAATTAAAGTATATCTTCCATAATCTGTAAGAAGATTAAAATTCATGTTACTTTAGAAAGTCATTAATAATTCAGCAACATGCTTGAGCTTCTGTATGCTGTGACACCAACTGTTGGTAAATGGTAATTTAATTACATTTGGAAAATTCATCTTAAGCCCCTACTAGATGCCAAGCCCTCAGCTAAATAAGATGGAGACTAATAAAGTTAAAACCATTATAATAATTATAATAATTGTATTTTAGCTATTGAACATTTAACATTCTCTCAAACTTATATAGACAATGCTCATGTTTTGTATATAGTATGTAAATATAAGTTTTTTGAACACTTTAAACCATCACTTTATTTACTAGACAAGGAACTTGGTCCTTCCTCAAATTGGTATGTCAGACTTTATTGACTCTCCATGGATGGCCTTGCCGCCTCTGAGGAGTGGGTGGTGGATAAGAAGGGGGAAAGTGAGGAGGTAGCAGAAGGGGAGGGAAGAGAACTGGGGTTGGTATGCAAAATGAAAAATAAAATTTTTGAATAAGAAAAAAGAGTACAGATGCAAATTTGAAGTAACGTTTAGTATGAAAATATCAAGAACATCTAAACTGATTTTTTAAAAGAAGAATGTGAAAAATACTGAACTTTCCCAATGAGTAAAAGTGTTCTTCAGAAATGTCTTCATGGCTAACTGCTATTTTAATGAAATGTTAAAAAAAAAAGATGAGAAAAGGGTTTTAGAAAGATGATTTCTTAAAGCCTTGTAGCACAACAACACAAATATATTAGAAAAAGTTTGAAAGTGCTTATAAAAAGGGTTCATGGTCTAAGCATAAAAGGTGGGAGGGCTATTAATGTTTGCAGTCAATTAGAGCCAAAGCTTATATTGTACAAAGCAGAAGTTTTGATAGTGACATGTAGATAATCCCAGGATCTGCGTCCCAGGTACATTAGTGACAGATGCTCTCTCAGTCTGAGAGAGTGGTAGCCAATGAATTATTAGACCCAAAGGCATAAAAGCACTGCAAGATTACATGACAGGATTACATAGGTAAACTTCTAGCACTTCGTCAGAAGTCTTACTTAATGACATTTTTTTAAGTGTATCTAAGAAAATTTGAGTATTTACCTCAAAACCATACTCAGGACATATTTTGTGTTTTGATTTTCAGAAGGGAGGCAGCCAGTGAAGAGTATGTTTGGTGTATACTGTCACTTACCCAATCCTATACTGCATGAATTTAGCTGCAGTGTGAAGCTAAACATTTTCTCTCATGTAATTATCTTATATCCCTTTAACACACTCTCTCATTGGCATTTCACTGCAGAAGCAGCTGTGTGTGTGTGTGTGTGTGTGTGTGTGTGTGTGTGTGTGTGTGTTATTGTGTCTGTGTAATGCATACAGGCCATCATTTATTCACTTGCTCCCTCCTTCTTGTAAGATGGATTGTAAGGACCTTGCCACTACCATCTTTGTAAATAACCTAAAGAACATTCATCCTGCTTTTGGAAATTTGCATGTGATTCATAGGAAACACAATATGTTATGATAAATCTTTCTGCCAAAAGCTGCCTGAGCCCCACCACCACGTGTGAGCTTTATGCCAGCCACCCGCCGGAGTTAGGCCCAAATGAATACACAGAAACTTCTATTAGGTTCAAAGCTGCTTGGCCAATGACTAGAATTCCTCATCTGCTAGCTCAGTCTTAACTATCATAAATCTATATATGTTATAAGACTTATCTTATCGAACACCTTATTGATGTCCCTCCTTGCTCGTGGATCACATCCTGCCACTGGAAGAGGAAGAGGAAAAAGGGAGGCTTCCTGTTTCTCTGTCGCTTAAATATGAGTCTCCTTGCTATGTCACTTCCTGCCTGGATCAGCATTTCTCTGCTACATTTCCCAGAATCCTCTTTGACTCCTAGTCCCATCTACTTGCTGTCTCAATGGCACAATGTGATCCACCAGCAAGGAGGGATGTCAATAAGGCGTCCAATAAGATAAGTCTTATAAAATATATGGATTTATGATAATTAAGACTGAGCTAACAGATGAGAATCCTAGTCATTGGCCAAGCACCATTTGAACCTAATACAACTTTCTGAGTATTAAATTGGGCCGTAACTCAGGCAGGCGGTTGGCAGAGAGTGCCCATGTGGTGGTGGGGCTTGACGGCTTTTGGCAGAAAGATTTATCATAACAGTGTATAAAAAGTAGTCATAGGTTTTCATACAATCTTTTAAAAAGAGATAGTATTGAAAATGGTTACAAATAACTTTTGAAACAAAGACAAGGTTGCCATTTCTGTAACAGGCAATACAGAACCATTTTAGTTAAAGTTACAGATAAGGCACAGTGCAATCCTTGAGAAACAGAGGTATACTCATAAACATGAATGAACATAGGTTGTTTTTACTATAAGATGGCTGTTAAAACTAAGATGGATGCAGGTTGCTTCTTATGTGATCAACAGGTGCTTTGGGGTATGTGGCTACCCTAGAGTGTCGTTTATATAGCAACTGTGTAACCACTCAAGAAAACTGGCTCCTTCTCTGTCAATACCCATCAAATACTCTTCTTCAGTTAAGTGTGGAATTTTGTGCCTACTACCTTTTTGCATTTTTATGTACCTAACAAAAAGCATCCATGGCTTGTGGAGACACTTGTCATTTGTATTCCTGAGTGTTTATGTAATGCTAAAAGGAGTAATAATGATTGTGGGACATATTTAAAAATATTTTTCATAAATTATTTGTAACATTTCAATATATTAAAATTTAAAATTTTTCTTCTTTTGTTGAATAGTAATTGTTTCCATCAGCTTGCCTTCAGTGACTCAGAACCAGCAGTTTGTCATCAGTAGTCACCAAATTCAACACATGTACCCTTTAAAAGGTTCCTGCGATCATGGCACTCTCTCTTACTCCCTTGCTCTGTCTATCTGTCTCTCTTTGTCTTTCTCTCTCACACACATGCTCTAGCTCCATGACAGCCTTTCAATCCCTCTTGCCAATGAATCCCTTGTGTGAGATATGTTGTGTTGTGTGATCTCTGTGGTATATCTTGGTGCCTACCTGCCAAGGTAGTGTACCATGTAAACCATATGACAACGAGCCAGGATATAAAACATATTTAAACTTGAAAGTTTACTTTTCATGAATTAGGAAATTCTTTGATGTTTTAAAGTTTAGTTCATTCCCACACTCTTCAGATAGCATTTGATAACTTTAACTTTCTTTACTTCATTCTTCTCAGAATATTTTACTAGAAAACTGCTGCAAATATCTTTTTATATTACCTCACTTCCTGACCCAGGTTTTCTTCTCTGATATATAGCTTACCCATCAAATAATTTAAGCTTTCAGATATAATAATTTCCCATTCTAAAATACTTACTTGATTCTTTCTTGTACCTGCTAACTCTGAAAGTCTTACTGAAAGGAATTTGTGCACCTCTAGGCATTCCTTTCTGGACACAAGACTAGGCACAGACAACACCCAAACACCA